TTGTTTTTGAGGGGTGGGGCTGGGGGATAGATGATGATTGTTTTTGAGGGGTGGGGCTGGGGGGATAGATGATGATTGTTTTTGAGGGGTGGGGCTGGGGAGGGCAACCAACTTATCCCAGATCGCAACCTTCTGTACATCAGGGGTGTGAGAATTCAGCTTTTTAGTTGATTTCAGCTTTTCTTGTTTAGATGTTGACCCCAAATTTCAGCTTCTTTTGTTTAGACGTTGACCCCAAATTTCAGCTTTTTGTACAGCAGGTCTGTACAAAAGTATGGGAACTTTTTACATTTCAGCTTTTTGCTAGCTGTTTTCAGCTTTAATTTTAAGTGGGCACTCACACCCTTGGTTCATGTACATGTATCTGAATCTTAATCATCCATTCCTGCCTGAATGTTCAATAAGAGCTCTCCAGAAGCTGCTAATTGGTCTTGTCACATGCATGTAGGATTTTAAGACTGATGTAATTGATACTGGCAGATGAATCCTTGGCTAGCTAAGAAACGGAAGGAAGACTGAAGGGTCTGGCTTCCTCGCTAGGTGTGCCTGATTAGAAGATGAAGGGATTAAATACAAAGTTACAGCCCTCCTAGGATCCATTACATGATTACGACAGGTGCAATGAGTGCAGTTTCCCCATGACATTAGACACCACTTTGAAATACAAGAATTAGACAAGAAGCTGCATTTTCTGTACTTTGTGACTGTGCTATGAATACAAGGCTTTCCTACCTCCATAGCTGATGCATACATTAGTCCAATGCTTAAAGTGCTTCAAATATGATAGTTGGATGGACTAGATTGACCCAGAAAATGTCAGAGTTGAAGTGCTATCCAAATTACAGACAAGCTATCCTCAGGAAGGGGGACAGTCACTGTGACAAACCTCACCCAAACGTGAACCCAACATTGACATCTTCAAGAACTAAAAAGCTCTCCCTAGATAAGTGTGACCCTCAGGCCGGTCACGTTGATAAACACCCCCCAAATGTGGAAGTCTTCAAGAGCTAAAAACCCTCTTCCTACATGTAGATACAATTGTGTTTTCTGTTTGAACCAATTAACCTGGAAATGTCCTTAATTTAGTTCCACTCTCTCCCGTAAATTGTCAGGAAATTGGACCAAAATGAATGCGTAGGGGCCAGTGGTGTAGTGAGCTGTGCATCTGGATTGAGGTTGTACCCAAGGGGGTAAATGGACAGCATTTTTATGTGTACTGATGTTTGGGTTGGATTAGCAAAATCTGATTTGCCAATCAAGCTTTTCAGTAACTTCACTGAATATTTTGGATGCCAATTGTTTACTTAGCAGTGGTTTAAAATGTAATACAGTGCCAAAATGACAACTTTAATTCTGGTAAAATTCAGAATATGCTCAATATAAATATTCAAAATATTTCTGTACAGGATTTGTACACTGGTTTGTTTTTAACTTCAAACATTTGTTAATCTGTTAGAATCTTCCGAATCCAAATGAATAGTTTACTTCCATCCATTGTGCATGAATTAAGACAACATGTATTAAATTACATGTATTTACCTGTTTGAGCTTTCTCATTAAAATGCCATTTGTATAATTTATTTGTTTGATCTTTGTGATATTTTTCGAGCTGGGAAAAAATACATGTTTTTGCTATTACATGTAGTTTCTAATCTAAGCGGGATTTTCCCATTTAATCTTGTGTACACAACAGAAATCATGATTATAAAGTCTTTTTACAGAGCACTAAAATCTCGCTTAGATTAGAAACTAATAGCATTTAAACGATTTAATGGGATTTTCTAAAGGAAAACTGAACAAAGACAGAAAACCTGAGAGAAAATGAGCAAAATCACTCTCTTTTACATTTTCAATGGTGCTTGCCGCTAAGGTCATTCGTGTGCATGCCTGCATAGATTTATGAATTTATTAGTGAAAAGGTCTCTTGTATGTCTTGGAGCCTGGTTCCTTTAGTGAACTTCAGAACCAGATCAATTCCTCTAACTTTTCAGTCCTCCTGTTGTTATCTTTGGTGCCTGGATTTATTTTTGGCTCAACGTTTCCGATGGATGGCCTTTATAGCATGCAGGAAGGAAGACCATTTGTAAGACGTTGGACTGATCCAAATCAGTTTCTGCATTCAGTTCCCTGTTAAATACTGGTACATGTACACATGTACGTGTACACACACGTACAATGTACAGTGTGTGTGTGTAGTGTAACTGGAATGTTTGGATTGTAGTTACCTGTACTGGAATGTCATATTGGAAATCTTCCAAAATGTGTAAAAAATGGGCAGTTTATGACCTTGAAATGTTTTTAGGTCAATATTTCCTTTTTTGAAAACTCATGAAGAAATGAGAATTATTATGTATGTTTGATAATGTTTTTGAGAGATTCAAGCAAAATAATCACACCATCAATTTTTGCAAGGTGGTACTTTTGACCTCTTCATGTAACCATCAGGACAAGAGACAGTAGAAGTGCATTTAAACTTGTACATTTCCTATGGATGTCATTGTGCCCTCAATTTTGATTTTCATAAATTGTACCTGTTGCTCAGTGATTTTAAAATGCATTGAAGACAGTGAAGAATACATTTCTTTGATAGTACTTGTGTTTTTCTCTAGATGTTTATCTGTCTGCTCCATTTGACTTTTGGGAAGTTCCAAACATTACAGAGTGAGCTGTTTTATGTTTTAAAAATAGTATTCATATGGTACAATATGAAAACTATTGCTACTTACAGGTACTTTTTATAACATAAAATTTTCAACCTTGATTCACCATTTTTTTTCATATTTTTATTTTTTCATAAAAGCTGGAGTAGTCACATGTGCAAATTGCTCAAACTTTGAATTTCAAATAGCCATCATTTTTTGAAAACATTTATTGGTGTATGTGTTCCTTGAACCTTGTTAGTAGCACCATTTTAAAGATTGGTCAGAAATGTCTAAACCATGACAAAATCTGAAAATCAATAAAGTGTTGTGGAATGACATTGTATCGTCAAAGTAACTTTGCTATGCTATGTTTGAGGAATTAGTTTAAATAATTGTTTCAAAATTGCATTTAGTTTTTAATTGTATGTGCATAACAATATTGATTTTAAGATGGAAAGGATAAGTCATAGGCTTCATTCCATCTCTCAAAGGTCTGATAATCCCAATGACTGGCTGACTTCTTCAATCCTTGACACACTGATTAGAAGTTTCCTTATATTCAGAGGTTATTTCTATAGCACAGGAAGTTAGTGCTTGCCAACTGGGAGATTTATGACAAACCCTGTGGAAAGGCATTCAGTGGTGTGTCATCATGTTAGATCATGTCATGGTACTTACCCTGCATTGAGTGAAGTTTGTCTCTTACTGTGATAACAGAAAAACCTCCCTCAAGTTTGACTTTGATTGTTGCTGCTCTGACATAAATGCATCCGGGTGTGGCTGACATCAATACAAGGTAAGTTGTACACTTTGATAGGAAGGGTGTCTTCCTAGAGGAAGGAGAGTTATGGTTGAACTACTTGAGCCTCAGTTCGTGAAAGTTTGGCTCGTAAATTTCCTTTGACTTAATGATCTTTACAACCTTAATTGTGCATCATGCTTGTTTGGTAAGATGGCTGAATGTGCTTCAAATTATCATCAGAGAACTTGATTTCAAGGAGAAACAGTACCCTAAAATCCTTGAAATGGTTTTCATTTGGACTGGTAATTCAAAATGAAAAATAGCAAATATAGGTTCATTTTTCAAAGTGTTGACTTACATGTACATATATGCATATCATATCTTAACCTAACCAAGATTGTGAAGGCTTGGTTGTGTAGCTTTTATAATATTTATTTTTACACATAAAATCATTTGAGATCTGATTTTATGAGTCACTTTTTGTTGGTTAAAGCACTCACCCACACACACTGTCAGGTCCATCAGTTTATTGGTAATATTGGGTTTGCATGCAATTGATAATGCAGGTACACCTACACATTTTGCCATTTACAACTGTTACTGGTCATTCCACTGTTTTGCTTCTTGTAAATGTGCACATAAGCATTATGACTTACTGTTGGCAGTAGATATTCAAATGTCAATCTTTCATGTTGGAATATATTTGAAGAATAGTTATGAAAACCAGTAACTTGCTGTATATGAGTTAGCGAGAGATATGGGTAATTCCAGAAATAAAAGGTCCAAAAGTGTGACATTTTTGTGTCGCTGTTACATGTACATCTGACCTTTGTTATTTGACATGGAAATATCACTGGAATTGATTTCAAACTATTACTATTTGTTTGGGATGTACATGTAATTTGCATTCCGAACTGTATTGTATTCTGAACTTACAAAATCATATGTCAGATGTGACAGGAACATGAAAAAATGGACCCCTAATTTCTGGAATTACCCATATCTGCACCATGTGCAT